TGCCCCTTCTCCGGGGCACCACTCCTGCTCACTCCATCCTCCCTCCCTCCCCCACTTTCACCAGGCTGGGGCTGTGGGTTGGGGTGCAGACTCTGGTCTTGGATTAAGGCATCTGGAGTGTGATAGGGGCTCTGAGCTGAGCTTGGGGCAGGCAGTTGGGGTGTTGGAGGATATTCTAGGTGCAGGCTCTGGGATGGTGTTGGGATGCAGGGGTGCTCAGAGCTAAGGCAGGGGCTTGGGATGCTGGAGGGGGTTCATGACTGGGGTAGGGTTTTGGAATGTGGGCTCCGGCTGGGCCCTGCTGACCTCAGGTGGCTCTTGGGTGATGGTGCAGTGGGGCTAAGGTTAGGCTCACCACTGCCCTGGCCCTGCATCACTCCCCAAAGCAGCCAGCAAACTCCCTCCATCCCAAGCCCTATTGTGTCCCTTCTCTGCTCTGTGGAGATGGGATACATAGTGGGGAGGGGTACCCTGACATCAGCACCTTCCTCTCCAAGGCTCTTGAGGGGACAGCTCCAAGCAGAGGGCAGGAGCTGCGCAGCAGTGTGGGGAGAGGCAGCTAAATGCTGGCACTAGATAGCCTCCTGGCCATACCTGTCAGGATCACCTGTCAGTCTCCAAGATCTACCAGTAGATCCCGATCTACTGGTTGGTGACCACTGCTATAGATATTAGTTTTCAGCAAACTCAATAAATAATAATTTAAGCTTAAAGAATATTCAGCCTGTGGTACACCTTTGCCCTGCCCCACCCTTTCTCCAAGACCCTGCCCCATGTTCACTCCATCCCACCTCCCTCTGTCACTTGCTCTCCCCCACCCTCAGTCATTTTTACTAGGCTGGGGCAGGGAGTTGGAGTGCAGGGAGGGGGTGAAAGCTCTGGCTGGGAGTGTGGGTTCTGGGGTGGAACTGTGGGGATGAGGGTTTTGGGGTCCAGGTGGGCTTCCAGCTGAGGCCAAGGGTTTGGAGTGTGGGAGGGGGTGCAGGCTCAGGACTGGGGTAGGTTGTTGGGGTGCAGGAGGGAAGGATGCAGGCTGCAGCCAGGCAGTGCTTACTTTGTGTGGCTCTTAAGAGCAACTGGTTTGTCCCTCTGGTTCCTAGGCTCAGGTGGCTCTGTATGTGCTATGCCTGCCTGCCTGCGTTGCTCCCGCAGCTCCCATTGGTTGGGCTCGGGTGTGGGTGCAGAGCATGGAGAGCCACTGGGCACTCCTGCACGTAGGAGCTAGACATGTTGGCTGCTTCCTGGAGTGTCACGGAGCCAGGGTGGGTAGGGAGCCTGCTTTAGCCCTGCTGCACCACCAACTGGACTTTTAGCGGCATATTGTAATCTTCCAGATTTCTGTCAGTAGTCATCTGGAGATCAAGGTTGATTTCGGGAGACTCCAGGCCAATCCAAGAGGTCTAGCAACCCTACATTAAAATACCATTATAAATTTTCAAAATGCTATGTTAGACCCTCATTTACAACTATGTAATCTTGTTATTTTGCAGGAGTGTGCTAATGGGAACTTGATAGCAATTACATCAACCAATCAAGATAATGAAATTGAGCATGTTCTCTTATGGCCTTGTTGACTGACGAACAGGAATAAAAAAACAGTACAACTTTAGATGTGTCACTAAAGTTAGCTATCTGAATATGCAGTGAAAGCAGATCTGTAGATCAAGATAATGGCACTTAAATCACTTTTCAGAGTATAACCATCAATTCACTTCTGATTATATAGATAAAGCCTTCTTATATACTCATTTTCCATACATATATCAACTGTTATTTTTTCTTTGTGAAGTTAATAACATTTATTAACAAACTGTTAGCATTTTCAGATACAGCATACTGTTACTTCTGTAAATGAATGTAGGTTTTGATATTTCGTAATGTAATAGTAAATATTTATAGATTTTTTTGGGGGGGAGGGAGCAAACAAAAATTAGTTTCAAGAATGATGATTTTTACTCAAAATACATTTAATCTCTCTTAAACAAACCATCCCCAACACATTAGCACTTATACAAATGACATTTTAGTGATTGCTTTATGTCTTTCCATACCTAGTACTGTAACCATCAGCTTAACACCTTGATCTAAAAAAGTTATGCTACTGCTTAAACATGTCAGCTGAATTCCATGTATACTTTTGTAAGGAAACAACTGTTATAATGACTGTACTTTCAAATCCTTCATATTCTTTACTGGGCACTTTGCTAATTATGGAAAATGAGAATGTTTTCTAAAAAGTATATCTTTAGTTTTATAAGAAGCTCTATGTTTTTGTTGAGAAATGAAAGTATTTTGCTGCTGCTCTGAAAATTGCAGTGGTCTCTTAAACACGTCATTATCTTTTTTAATATTAACAATGTTTAACTTGTTTTTAATCACAAAGTAAGTTAAATGAAAATATAAAGAACATGTAAACAAAGTCCACCCAAAGAAGAAAATAAGCAAAATACAAATGCATATGCTAAATTCCTAAAAACACAATGGGTGTACAGGCAGTCCCCGAGTTACGCGGATCCGACTTATGTCGGATCCGCAGTTACGAATGGGGCTTTTCTCGCCCGGGAGCGGTGGGACGCCCAGATGCGCCACGGTCCGTTACCCCTATCCTCCGGGGCGAGAAAAGCTGCTCCCTGTCTCCCTGATCTGCAGGGAGACGGGGAGCAAAGCCTTGGAGCATGCCCGCAGCGGGACAGCCCGGGCGCGCTTGAGCGGTCTCCCTGCTGGCGGGGGGTGCGGAGCG